TTACTCGGGATCAAATCCATTAACACCATTTCCTGTCCTTTAAACTGGCACACTCTCAGAAAGCAGCCTTTGCTGAGCAGTTCAAGGGCATTTTAAGGCACTTCCAAAATGCTTTGAAATGCTAATATAAATATCGTTTAAGGATTCAGAAGGGATGCTGGAGGCCAAGCAGCAACACATTACTGGTCACACAAAGAGCTGAAAGCCAGTGGGGACCTGCCGCTTTGATTCCTCCTTGCCTCTTCGTCTGCCTGCTCTCGCTCTATGTGGCAATTCAAATCAAACAAAACTGAAAAAAAGGACCCGGCGCTGCTGCCCTCCGCAGGCAGGAAGGAAATAAGTCATCTTATTTCCTATGCAGCCCCAGAGCCCCTCACCTTCGGGCCATCAAATGCTCGTTGATCGTTGCATCGCGTACCGCTCGTGGTCTATCAAAAAAACGTCAGAGCAGAAGTCTTGAAAATCAAGATTCAAACTGTGCCATAAGGCATGGACTATCTCCCTGGAACCTACTAGGAATTTGACAGCAAATCCGTAACACTGGCAACCTGGACACTGCAATGTTTACTTCCGCTGCCGCTGGCTGGTGCCTCTGGATGTCCAGTCCGCGTCTCGACCCAGCAAAGCTCTCACGGACCGCCAGAACGATCCTGAAGAAAACTGGAACCTGTCACTTCCCTCACCCTCTTCTCTCAAACTTAAGCAGCCACCAAGGCTTTTAACTGGGAAACAAGTACATAAATACATGTAGAAATTCAAACACTTCAGAAATGAGTGCAGGGGGGCGTTCTCTTTCCCTTCTAACTATACTATCTTCCCGCTTTGCTCCCGCTCTTAAATCAACACAAGAAGGCTCTGTTGGGGTTTCATTTTCCTCCCGGCTTCTTATCATTGACGAATATTAACTTATATAGTTCATTGTGATCCTAACTTGTATTTAGAAACTTCTTTCCACTTAAAACGTTCCCTTTGGGGGGCATGTATGTGTGGTATACACCTGTCTACTCATGTTTGTATGTGCGCAAGTGTGCTTGAAGGCCAGGGCTTGGTGTTGGATGTGATCTTAACTTGTATTTAGAAACTTCTTTCCACTTAAAACTTTCCCTTTCGGGGGCATATGTGTGTGGTATACGCTCATGTCTGTTCATGTTTGTGTGTGTGCAAGTGCACTTGGAGGCCAGGGTTAGAATGTTTTCTTCCATTGCATTCCGTTTAATTCCCCACGGCAGTCTCCCAGAACCCAGGACATGTTGGTTAGACTGGCATAGCCAGCTCGCGCCCAGAGAATCCATCTCCACCTTCTAAGGGACAGATTTGCCTACCTGGCTTTTATGTGGATGCTTCAGTCCTGGGGTTTATGTGATAAGCCATCTTCCCAGGCCATAAAAATATATAAATAATAGATGGTATTTAGGCAGAATTGGATCAGATCTCAATGAAAAGTGCCTGACTTGCTGTAAAGGGTCAGAGAGCACAGTGAGGTGGTATCAACGCCAAGAACATGAGCTGAAATTTTCTGAGAATTGCCTAGGTACCGGACACTGTTCTGAGTGTCTTTTAAGATTTTCTGTGAAGTTTTTACTGGTAAAAATGTCAAAAAATGGCATATGTATCATTAATGCCTCTATGTATAACATGATAAGATCTTGAATTTGTCTGCTACTTGTAGATTTATTTGATACAGCATATCCAGGACTGAGAAAAATGAGGTGACTAAGCTTCCTTGGAAACTGAGAATATCACAACAGAGAAGTTCCAAAACCACACGGTGGTCCAGCCCATCTCCAAGGCGAGGGCTTCAGGGCTCAGCAGCATCTCTCAGACTTCTGCCATCCGTGTACTGTTGCCCAGTAACCACCGCATTCACATCGTCGGGACCAGTGACAGCCTCTACAGCTACCTCCGTTTTAAAGGTCACAGTTCCATCACACGAACGCAGAAATGCAATCAACCGAGTGAAGGTGTGCTAAGTGGGAAAGAGCGTCCAATAAAGAACTCTCATTCAATTCCGGGTGCTGTAACTCGCTGACACATAAAGCAGGAGCCCTATAGTTTCTGTTAAAGAGCAAGTCATTGTCAGCTTGCTTCTTCTTTAAGCAGAACGACTGGTGGAAGGACTGGAAAAGCTAGACCTGAGTTAGGACTAAACCTTCTCACTAAGCTTTTCCAGTGACATGTGGAACTGTCCCAGGCGTCAGCTCAGTTTCCTATGAGCTGTGATGGTTTCCACACATCCCTGCAACACACATTCCAGCGTATCCCGTGAAAGATTCCAGAGCAATCTGGATATTCTACTTAGTTTGGAATCTCAGAAAGAATATTATTTCACTCTCAAGACACGTCCCAAGGTGCCTGCTTAGCAGCAGAAGACAACACTAGTCTTCTTTTACCCCAAAGCTTGCTCTCAGAAGGCAGATACTAGTGAAAGCGGTACAGACCTAGTGTGCTGGCCGATTTATCTCAACTTGACTCAACCCAGAGTCATCTGAAAGGAGGAAACCTCAACTGAGAAAATGCCTCTGTAAATTCTGGCACTAGGCCGTAAGTTCTGGCTGTTGTCAAGAAAATGTAAGGAAAAAATGCCTTAATTAGTGATTGACGTGGGGGAGTCCAGTCCATTGTTGGTGGTGCCATCCCCGGGCTGGTGGTCCCTGTTCTATAAGAAGGTAGGCTGATTAAGCCATGGGAAGCAAACCAGTATGCAACACCCCTCCCTGGCCTCTGCATCAGTTCTTGCCTCCAGTTCCTGCCCTGTTTGAGTTCCTGTCCTCACTGCTTTGGATGACAAAATGTTATATGGAAGTGAGTGAAATAAACCCTTTCCTCCCCAGCTTGCTTTTTGGCCATGGTGTTTCATCGCAGCAATGGTTACCCTGGGACATCTAGAAAGCACAATCAAGGTCAAGGTCATAGTGCGTCTTGTCTGACCTTAAAGAGATCAGTCCATCAGATATGCTAACAATCTGCACAAAGCAGGAAATATTACACACAGCCCAATAGGGGAAATATGAATTAATAGGAGAGATACTGACATAACACTAAAACAGTATTAGCTGAGTCTGAAGTTACAGAGCTTTCCCATTTTTCCAACTTACAAACAAACAAACAAGAGCCAGGCATTTTTATCTTGCTCAGCTGGCAGAGCACTTGCTTACCATGGGCAAGATCCTGGGTTCAATCCCCACCATGGTAACAAAGCAAAACACCTCAAAATTAAAACTGTTCACTTTCCTGTCCTTAGGCACGTTTAGTCTCAAATGCCACTTTGGTAATTAAAGCAAAAATTATGCTTATGATATGCTTATGATAAACTGCCCCATACAACCTATAAAACTTAAAGATTGGTCACCAGTTAGTCCTCAGGGATAATAAAGTCCCGAAAAAGAAAGAAGAAAGAAAGAAAGAAAGAAAAGCAAAAGAAAGAAAGAAAAGCAAAAGAAAGAAAGAAAAGCAAAAGAAAGAATGAACCATATCAAATGTTATGTGGAATGACTTTTAACATGAGTAGCATCCAAATAATTTTATAGTGCTGAGAGTTAACTTTAAAATGCTCCAAGAAATCTAAGCTCACAGTGCCATCTACAGGCCAAGGACAGAATATTAACAACAGTGCACTTTACAAAATGTTTTAATGTTTTCTAATAAACTTATTTAAAATAAGAAAACTAAACTCAATCTTATATAATTTATTTTCACATTTAATTCATGAAATAAAATTTCTGTTGAAGTTAAAATACTCCTTCCCAATTTTTACTATCTAATATCACATTATTGTCAAAAACAACTAAAACTAGGTTTTTACTATCTAATATCACATTATTGTCAAAAACAACTAAAACTAGGCAGGTAGCTCTAAAAAAAAAATCAACTTCTTATGAATTTTGAGATTGCTGAAGTATGTGTGATGGGCAGCCTCGATTGTCAACTTGATGAGATTGGAATCACCCGGAAGACAACCAACCTAGACACATATGCAAGGCATTATCTTGTTTAGAGAAAATGGGGTGGGAAGCCAAGGGAGAATGTGAGCTGACAAGCATCCCCCGTTCTCTGTTTCCTGACTATGGACACAAGGTGACCAGTGCCCTCAAGGCTCCTATTGCCATCATTTCATTGTGGTGGCAGACTGTACCTTGGACCTGCGAGCCAAAATAAACCTTTCACCTTGAAGTTGCTTTTGTTAAGGTTTTTTTTATCACAGAAACAGAAAGACAACCAAGGTGATAAGTAATGATTAGATAGATAGATAGATAGATAGATAGATAGATAGATAGATAGATAGATAATTTTTAATTGACTACTTATCATCTAATTTGAATGTCATTATCTTCTCTTCCAAATTTGTACCTGCAAACATGTAACAGTCCTGGAGTGCCCGGTCCTTCTGATGTCACCTTCACACCAGTTCTTGAGTGACATCTGTATTCATGTCCCCCTCCCATGAATGCTGAGAGGGAAGCATGGGAACTGGAATATGCGGTTTGAGCCAGGGTTCAAACTGGGGGAGTCAGTCCCCAGAAGCTACAGGTTTTGTCAGCATGCAAATATGCTTCTCATTGTGGGCCCAGCATTTGTAAAATGCATGGTTTGCTCCTGTAAAACAAGATTGTCTAAGGCTACTAAATTTCCATCAACATCTTTAGTAACTACATGCTTGCTTCAAGTCATTTTGCTTATGTTATTTATGGATGCAATGAACTGACTTTTATTTGCTCCATAATATACAAATGAACATGCTATTAAAAAACATTTTAGGGGGCTGGAGAGATGGCTCATCAGTTAAGAGCACTGACTGCTCTTCCAGAGGTTCTGAAGTTCCCAGCAACCACATGGTGGCTCACAGCCATCTATAATGAGATCTGGTGCCCTCTTCTGGCATGCAAGCATACATGGAAGGAATTTTCTATACCTAATAAATAAATAAATCTATAAAAAAAAACCATTTTACATTCTGTTCAGGACTTTTTATTTTTATGGATTTTATTCCCTGGTGCTAATACTCCCTCAATAGGCAGGCAAGCATAGACATAAAAAAAACACCTCATTGCTGGTCTGTAATAGCCCATAAGGCTTTTGAAACCACCAGTGAAATGCTATTGGAGGTTTCCAAATAAATATGTCACCCCTTTCTATTGAATTTAAATGATGTGACGCTGGTAAGAATGATTTAAAATAATTCCATGGTAATTTAGGAAACTGATAATGTCTTTATTTCCAAAAAGAATCAATAGCAAATCCAATGTGTGAGAGACGGGATGTGAGGAGATCTCAGCCTACAATCTGAGCTTTGGGTCATAGAAAACAGAACAAAGGGTTAGGGGATCGGGTAAAAACTTGTATGAAAAAGTTGAATGAAAACTTTGCCTTCCTCCAAGATGATGTCATGTGTAAGTCACTTTAAGAACAAATAATAGTCCCTTGCATGACAAACCAGAAAGGATGATCTTCACTTGTCCTGTCACCGTGGTTTTGCTGTTACCTGGCTTTCCCTTTCAAAGCAGAGGAGAGGGCGCTCTCTATCCACGTGGCTCCTAAGTGTGATCCCCAGCGGCCAGTGCCCAGAGCAGTGTTCTCAAGTCTGGAACTTTCGTGACTGGAGCAGAGATCCCTGAAGCAAGTGGAAAAACTAGTCACATAGCTTTAAACTAGTGGTTGGTTCTCCACCTAAGGCTGCGACCCTTTAATACAGTTCCTCGTGTTGGGTACCCCCAACCGTAAAATTATTTTCATTGCTACTTTATAACTTTTTTTGAATTTTGTAATTTACGGTTATGACCGTAATGTAGATATCTTTTAGATAGATGGTTACCAAAGGGGTCGTGACCCACAGGTTGAGAATCACTGCCTTAGGCCTCTGATTCCTCTGAAGAAAGGGTAGCCTCAGTTCCAGGACCTCTGCCTTGGGCTTCTTGACTGCTGTGGCCTTCAGTTTTCACAGTACCCTGAGAGGCTGGAATCTGGTGAGTTAAAGTATCAGTGTCTCAGTTTAAACCTCTCCACTAAAGTCCTGTGTTCATTGACAACAGCTGAGGGACCAGGCACACGACTCCATCACGGGCGCTGGTTTAAATATCACCTTTCATCATTTCCCGCAGGCAAACAGTAGCATAACAGGAAGCATCAAGATCAAAGGAAATGGACAGGGATGAGGTTACATCATCGGTGTGAGACCCTTCCACGTTAGCATCAGAGTCAGGATGGAGGAGTTGGTACGACACATTGTGGGGATGTTTCAAGATGTGCCTGTAGCATCCTGGTACATTCAGCTTGAGGGCGGGCACTCTAAACCTACAGGCCTGCAGTCCGTCCCTGCTAAGGACTCCACGGAACCACTGCCCTACTTTGTTCTCTGGGTACTGAACATTGTATCCAAGTACTGGCAGAACCACCTGGGGAGGGCAGGGAGAGACCACAACACATGGATTAGCCTTCAGAAAGATATGCCATCATATTTTACCTTTACGACCGCAACCCAGATTTGCAAAAACAGTGTCAGGCTACAAATATGATAGCTGGCCTAAGATGTTTTGAATACTACCTAGGATGCTTTTATCATTATCAGTAAAGACAAGAGCTAACTAAAACCAAGGCCTAAGGAGACTTAAGGTCACCAGCGTATATCAGGTGTCACTGGGCAAACTAAAATTAAAAAATAAAGGCTGATTTAATTTTCCAGTAAGGACTCCATCTCCAAAAGCATGCAATCCTAAAGCAAGAGTCTTCTGTGAAACAAAGAACTGTCTCTACTGCTGGCCACTGCTATTTTGGATGATAATCTGAAATTCCTTTTAATAAAAAGCAACAAAATAATCAGTCAACAGGAAATATTTTCATTTTGCCAGCTGTATGCGCATGCGTAAACCATGATCTACAGAGGTTTTCTCCTGTGACCTGCAGAGGTTTTCCCCTGTGATCTGTAGAGGTTTTCCCCTGTGATCTGTAGAGGTTTTCTCCTGTGACCTGCAGAGGTTTTCTCCTGTGAACAGCTTAGGTTTTCTCCTGTGATCTACAAAGGTTTTCTCCTGTGATCTGCAGAGGTTTTCTCTTGGGATCTGTACAGGTTTTCTCCTGTGATCTGTAGAGGTTTTCTCCTTTGCTGAAGCTAGACAGCATGTCTGTATACTAAAATGCATTTAGAAAAACAGGCAAAATCTTCAAATATAAATGAATCTCAAAGAAGTCAGACACGGAAGTCTGAGGCAGGGCTATGGGTTTGAATCCAGCCTGGGCCACAGCTAGGCTTCAGAACCTTGATTCACTTGTGACCCACATGATAAAATGGTATATGATCCTAAGTATAAAACTCCATAAAATTGGTATAAAAACCAAACGCTTACGATAATAAATCATAAAAGATTTATTTCAATTCTTCGATACATATAAAATTCTGCCATTTATTAAAGACAATTTAATTATCATTAAGTTATTAAAGCAAACATGCAAACCAGTGAGATGATATGCTCTTTCTTTCATATAAATAAATCATTAGCTCTTGCCTGGACATTTGAAACCATAAAATGAAAAGCATTTTCTATGGTTTTCAGAGTTGACAGATGTTTAGATTTTGTAATCTTTGGCACTAAGAGTACCATTTCATATAAGCACATGGCCCAAAAGGGCAGAGGAATATTTAGAGGCATTTCATAAAGTGTTGGAAATTCTGTCCTAATTCCAAATCAAAACTCATTTCACTATCTTTTTTATGACACTCAGTTCAGCAACCAAGACAGCAACTTTTAAAATCAAGTACTCTAACACAATATAGCCCAAGCATATATCAATATTCACATGCTGATAGATGACAGTAGGAAAACAGTAAGTCTTTGCTTTCCAGAAGTAAACCATGTTTTTTTAAGAAAAGAAAACTTTGTGTGCACACCAAAACCTACAACTGATAATATGTAATGGTCTAGAATCTGAGCTGAGGTATTTCAGGCATCACCATCATCATCACCACCATCATCATCACCATCATCCATCACCAAAATTCTTCACCATCATCACCATCATCAATCACCATCATCATCACCACCATCAATCACCATTATCCATCAGCATCATCAATTATCATCATTACCATCATCACCATCACCATCATTCATCACCATTATCATCATCACTAGCATCATCATCACCATCATCCATCACCAAAATACTTTACCATCATCAGTCATCATCAATCACCATCATCATCACCATCGCCATCATCAATCACCATCATTCACACCATCATTCATCACCATCATCATCATCAATCACTATCATTCACCACCAACACCATCATCAATCACCACCATTCATCATCATCATCATCAATCACCACCATTCATTACCATCATCAATCATTATCACCATCATCAATATCATCACCACCATCACCATCATCATCACCATCATCATCATCTATCATAATTATCATCACCATCTACAATGCTAGACAGGATGGTACACACAGGGCAAAGTGGCTACAGAGAACCAAGTCTGCATTGAAGCCACATGATGCAAAACTAGTGAATGCATCTTGAAATGCCTTGGGTCCGTTTTGCATTTGTTTTTTAATTCATTTTCTATCCCTATACATTCAGAAACCTTGAATTGCTACAGAAATTTCGCAACCTCCACATTTAATCATGGGATCACACCCTACAGTCTAAGAAGCTGGGAATATAGAAAGATACACATTTATGTAACTTTTTCCAAACATAAAACCACAGTGATCACAGTGATAGAAATTAAATCAGTGGTTCCCATGAAATAGGATCAATGCGACCCTGGAAAGAGGATTAATGTGGAGGCCAAACATTGGGAAACACTGGAGGGAGACATGAACATTGGGAAATATATATAAAAGCAAGCATAAATTAAATTGTTAGGGTATAGATTATAGCATAATAGGCTTATTTAAGCATTAATATATTAAAGAAGCATAAATTACTAGGATATAAAATAGAGTACTTCAAAAGTTACCTAGCAAGGGAGGGTCAGATTTGTCTTTCATGGACAATGTTTACTTAAATTTAAGTGATGGTAACTTTTAACCAAACTTACCTGGTGTATTGTGTATGTGTTTGCAGATTCCTCTTCTTTGGTCACCAGATGAACCTAGTTTCATAAAATACAATGGAAACGAGTAGTTTCCCACTGTTCAGTGTTCCCTAACTCTGATTTATACACTGAATATGCATATGTTCAAACACAATCTTTTTATAATAACCTGTCTCCAGAGGAGCCCCCTACATAAAAGACAGACCAGTTCTTTCTGCTTTAACCACGCACTACTGAAGCTGAAAAGCAGCCATCGTGGCTGCCCGGAGGCGACACTTTCCTCAGTCACCAATGAATGATGCCAAACCGAATGTCTGCTTCTGTATAGCCAACCCCTACCTTCAACTGTCCCTTTCCCCAGGAAATACGGCAATATTTTATTCAGCCATCTTTCTTGTAGGTATGTTTGAGAGGGCTGTAGGAGGCGTCTGAAAGCCGAAAGGAATAAAGAGGCATGTGATAAACTAAGTTTGAGGAAGTCTGCTGCCCAGCGTCACAGATTACACAACTCCTGGCTGGAGAGATGCTCAGCTGTTAAGAGCACTGCTCGTGCAGAGGACAGGATTGGCAATGCAGCTGTGCCTGAATAAATCATGAGTTTTCAGACATAGGGTCAATAAATGCCTGCTGGTTTTTTTTTTTTATTAGATTGAGATGGCTATTAACCTGAAACAAACTAGCCTTAATTCATACATCATGGAGGCTATCACTGATCTAGTAAAGACTTCTTTATATAGAGTTTAGTCTACCTTTCCTCTAGTTCTGAAGGGCTGGGCCTTCATGTTCCTCAAGAGGAGACCCACTTAGACTCCTGGGTCTTTTTAGGGGCACTACATGCGCCTAAATATGTTCTGAATTTTTCCTTTCCCATCTGGGCCTCAGTTCTCACTTCTATAAAATAGGAATTCAAGGACCAGACCTCTGAAATACTTTACTCCCCTAAAATCCAACAGTTTTTGCAATGAATATCATGAAACACTACTCAGGGTCTTGTCCCTGGTTTTAAGCATCTTAAAATTGACTTAAGATAATGTTAGAAAAAACTTCTTTGTTCTTTTATTTTACACTATTATGGAAATTCTCACAAGACTTACAGAATTCAGCTTCACTAATTAGTTCAAAGCTATATAGATAAAAATGCCACATGGACAGGGAAGAAATGGAAAAAGCAAGCTTTATAAAAATAGTCATGACATAACTTCAATAATATAAACGTCATAAAGTCACATGTATATAAAACCACGTGTATAGGAAAGAAACATAGCATTCTCTATACTCATAACATCATAGAACTTATGTTTTTTTCTTTTAAGCTGTACAGCTCCTACACCTCTTTCCTTGATATTATATACAAATAAAAGTCATTCAGGCAAAAGCAGGGAGCAGTCTGATGAACCATGCTGGGCAACAAGGAAGCAAGGGAAATCACCTTTGCTGTGTGTGCAGACACTCAGCTCTGCAAGGTGTGACCCTTGTCTTTAAGAGGGCAGCCAACATGTCTGGGGCATTACACGAACAGGTTTCTCTTGTTTGTTTTTGAGATGTGCTCTTTAGAGAGAGCTTTACCACCTTTCATTGCCAACACTGATTCCTTCTTCACTTAGCAACATATGTTGACTCCTGGCTGTCAGAAAAGTAAAGCCTGAGATTATTGTGTGATATTTTGACCATATTCTGACAATAAAGCTTGCTTGAGTCAGAGGTCAGAGCTAGACACTAACTGACCAAAATTAACCATAGAGGTTTTGGAGGACTGAAGACAGATAGGAGACAGGAAGTATTAAGGCGGGGCTGAAATAGGATCTCAGCCTTTTGGATAGGTCACTGGAGGCTGCTCTGCTGCTTCTTTGATCATGCAGATTCCTACCTAAGTATCTGAATCCCAATTTTTGATAAAGAATAATTAAATAAATGATTCAAGAGATAAGCAAACGGAAATGTTTTGCAGTTACTGTTTCTGGTGTGGCAAGTCACCTCCTTAATGGATGGATACTCACTTTACTGCTTGGGACATGCTCGTCAACACGGTCATCCAAGCAGATCAGGTCCCCCTCCACCACTCTGGATCCATAGGCTGCAAGTCTGTAAGACGCTGCCTCGTTCCAAATCTTGCTGCTGTATGCGTGGATGTAGAATATGCGCATGGAATGGGGAAAAGAGAACCAGGCCTGGATACAGCCTTCCTCCGTCACACCGAAGCGATGCAACGACTCCAGCAGAGCCCGCTCTCGAACTCGGAACTCAGGCATCAGTGACAGCGTGCCTTTCGCGTCCTCTGAAATGTAGGACAAATCAGCTGGTAGGCACCATCACCGCAGAGCTACCTGGGGGAGACTTTTACAAGCAGTCTAAATGAGAGGCCATCATTTTGTGGAGACGCTGAACACTACGGTTAAATCCAATTATACTTTTAAAAACTTGCTTTTTTTCTTTTTAAACTTTTATTTTCTTTAAAAAATAAGAAAGATCAGGGTTCCCTGCCCTGTGGGAAGTCCAAGGACCACCCACCTCCATCCAGGTCTAGTAAGGTGAGCATTCAAACTGCCTAGGCTCCCACAAAGCCAATACGTGCAGTAGGATCAAAGAACCCATTGCCATTGTTCTTAAGTTCTCAGTAGTCCTCATTGTCCGCTATGTTCAGCGAGTCCCGTTTTATGCCAGGCTTTTTCAGATCCAAGCCAGCTTTTTAAAACATGCTAATGTGTTATGAGACTAAACCAAAGAGCAACTTGCATTACTTGTGGTGTTGTACACCTGGCTGTGTAGACTGTGGATGTGTGGGCTTTAGGGAAGGCCTGGGGTGTTTTCCATCACAGCCCTTGTAGCCTCTGTCTGTAACTTCCTCCATAGGTAAGACTCATGTTTCATATCAAGGGATCTTGCTTGTGGAGCCTTGATGTGTATATAAAGATGGTTATCAGAGCACATGCTTTATGCAAAAGTGAAAAATAAAAGCATTTATCAATGTCCCAACTTCATAAAATTTTAAATGAACAATGAAAGAGTATGTTATCATCCCCATCTGCTAAGCTGAATCTTTGTTTTAAATCTGCCAGAGTTTTCCTTCCTACAGCAGCCACATGGTCCTGGGGCCTCGTAAGATTTGATTCCATTGAAATATGTTTCTTAGAGAGAAAATCGCCTATGTGTCATGTGTCTGCAGTCAGCTATAATGGTTAATGTGCAACCTTCCTTGAAAAATCTGTTTTACAAGCAAAATGTTGACACAGTTTTAATTATAGCACTCGAGTGAGCACTGTTGTAATTTTTAATACTCCTCCATGGTAACATTGTCACTGTTCTAATAGAGGAAACACACTGATCTGGCATCCCCAGTTTCCAGTGCTTTGGGGTTTTGTGGGAATGCTGTCTTTTTTTAGTTGAAGTTTTTCATTTGGTCTAAAAGAAAAGAATGCGACTCGAGGTTTGGTGTGTTTATTTATTAATGTAAGCGTTCTCTGTGACAGTCATTATTCTGATTTAATATGTCACCATGTGGACCTCACATGACTCACGTTAAGGAGGGGGTTTCTGTGCAATGACAGAGCATGGAAAAATCTAGGCACCTGTCTTGTAGAAACTTTCCACATTTTTAACCTAAATAAACTATATTGATATTAAAATTTTATCACACTAAGGATTTGTGTTTTCCAGAAATAAAGACCCATTAAAATGGTATCTAAAATAGTGTACTTTAAGGTAGTAACAATACTGAACTCTCTTTTGTGGTCATGATTAGAAGAGAGTGTGCTTGATATTGTCTACACATGGCCACTCCCTATGTGCTGTCCTGGCTTCCCACTCAGCGCCCAGATCTGCTCCTTAACATACGCTCCTCTTTGGGAGGTTCACAAATGTCAGCAGCTTGGTCGGGTCTTGTGTTCTTCCTCCTCTCCTTCTGAGGAGGCACAGTGTGGTTTTGGACACCTCTTAGGATCCAAGGAGAGCCCGGTGCCCTGGCCTGTCTGAATGGAAAGGACGGAGTCACATGTGCCTTCACAGCATGGCCTCTGGAAAAGAAGGCTCAGTGCATCCTCAGCAAGGCTGGTTCACAGCCACGTTCAGGGCAGGGCAGGGCAGGGCAGGGCAGAATAAAGGCTGGAAGCAAGAGTAACAGTCACTGCTTACCAGGCGCTGGCTGAGTACTTCTGTGATGAGGATACCTTTCTCAGTGAAAAGAGTATGTGTGAATCAAGACCAAATAGCTATCATTCTTAAATGTTGTGATATTATTTTATCTTTTTAGTGTTAAGATTTGATCATTCATCTCATGAAAACCTGCTTTTTCATGTCTTAAAAACTTTTTAAGCATGCAATAATTATATACTAAAACTTCCATTATATTTTCACCTATAAATGGTATTTTCTGATTATATTCACCCAATTACTCCATCTTATCACCTTTCCACTCCATTAATCTTGCTCTTCCTCTAACTGGTCTTTCTTCTAGTTTCATTTCTTCATGCCTTGCGTGTGGTCCCATTTATTTAATTAGGGTTCCTTGCACGAGCGTGGATAAGGAGTTATTTACAAGAATATCGGCAGGTTTCCAGTGGCTGCACCACCAGAAAAAAAATGCCTCCTCCTCCCGCAGGAGCCATTAACTGCCATTAGCAACTTAGGGAGAAATGGGGCCTCATGAACATCCCTCCCAAGAACCTTTATTTTGAGACCATGTGTCCCACACACCTGTCACATGTAAAGATATTTCTTTCTGTGCAAGATGGATTTGGGGATGACTTCATAATAAAATTTTCAAACTTCTAATGATAAGAATTTGTACTTTTTTATTGCGTTGGTTTCAAGTTTTATAGTACACCCACGTTCTCACATATGTAAGTAGAGTTAGGCTTCAACTCAGCTACTCTTTTTGAAATTGGACCAAGAATTTCAGGTTTCAACATAGCAGCTTCTGAGTGTGTCCAACAGGAGCAGGAAAGGACATAACTCAAGGACTTGATGCTAGAGATATGACATTTGTTCATGTGATATACTTCTGAAGTATATGTGAGCAAGCTGCATATATTAATTTAAAACAAATGTATAGAGTTTAGATTTATGTACTATTGAATTTAGCATTGTGTGTGTAGATATGTCCTATATTCTCCTTCCTAACATAGCACTCAGCAGAGAGAGGCAGAGGAAAACGAAGGAAAAGGACTCCATTTCTATATGTCTTTGATCTCAGTTGACTTTACAAGAAATAACTTGGCATATGTGTGTGTGTGTGTGTGTGTGTGTGTGTGTTTCTGACCTTGGCCATTCTTACAAGTATAAGACAGAATCTCAGAGTTGTTTTGATTTGCATTTCTCTGATGACTAAGGATGTTGAACATTTCCTTAAATGTCTTTCAGCCATTTTAGATTCCTCTGTTGAGAGTTCTCTGTTTAGGTCTGTGCTCCATTTTTTTATTGGATTAATTTGTTATTTTGATGACCAGTTTCTTGAGTTCTTTTTCTATTTTGGAGATCGGACCTCTGTCTGATGTTGGGTCAGTGAAGATCTTTTCCCATTCTGAAGGCGGGTATATATCCAAAGGATGTTCAGTTGTGCCACAAGGACATGGGCTCAACTATGTTCATAGCAGCATTGTTTGTCATAGCCAGAACCTGGAAACAACCTAAATGCCCCTTGACCAAAGAATGGATAAGGAAAATGTGGTACATTTACACAATGGAGTACTACACAGCAGAAAAAAATGAATTGTGCAGGCAAATGGATAGAGCTAGAAAACATCATTTTGAGTGAGGTAACCCAGACCCAGTAAGACAATTATCACATGTAATCATTCATAGGTGGTTTTTAAACATAAAGCAAAGGAAACCA